CACCGCCACCGCTGCCGACACTGCCATCGCCGCCATTATTGCCACTGTTACCATTACTGCACCCGCAACTTTCGTTGCCAGCAGCAACAAAATTGCCAGCACCATCGTTCTTCAAAATTATAAAATTACATCTACTGTTAATGCTATCACTAATCGTACTATCACTGCAACCCCTATCACTTTAATCATGCATGTAACTTCAATAGAGTTCCAGTACTTGAACCATTATTGCTACCACAATTATTTTCGAAAGGGCGAAATAATCTGTAAAAAAAACAGACCGAGTGTATATATAATGTATATTGGAATTGTTAGGTCGAGGAAGGGTAATTTATTACCATTAAAGCAGCAGCTTTCAGTTCGATGATGTTAATGGCGAACAATTTCATATGCATAGTTTTGGTACCCTTGATCCGAAAGTTAATTCCGTTTTGAACCCGTTTCAAAATCAATCCTATAAAGTGCGTAATGTGTTATACCATTCGCTTTATGCAGCTCAGCGACACCTTTTCTACCTGTTTCCTATTCAGGATGAATGCAACGAATGCGATGCTGCGCCCAATATCGTTTGCACGAAAGAAAAGGAGCTGCTGTATGCGTAATACGCAACGAGGCTGTTGCGACGACCGTTAAAGCAGGTGCGCGCGTGATTCCTTCATAGCCGTGGGTGAGCGATAATTTATGGTAATGTATGCGCCCGGTAACGTCGTATTCGATTTACGTATTTAATTAAAATCTGGACACAAAACACTGGTACCTTTATTAGCTGGTAACAAAGCTGACTATTACACCAGACACACGGCGAACAGAGCAAGACCACGTGCACGCGAGGAATCTGCGATCAGATGATATTTCCTTCGTGTGAAATCGCAGTCTAAACTGATTTTAATTTATCTAGAAAGTGGTTTGCAACAGGACAACCAAATCAATTCTCCGAAATATTACAGCATGTCGAAATAACGCTTATGCTCTTTCAGGAGATTAGCGCGAATAAGTGTCAATGCGAGAACAATAGTGACAACCTCGCGCACTTTGAAATTACTGACTAACGAAAGAAAATAAGAAAAGTTAAATGGGACAATGATGTTTGGTAACATGAAGAGAGAGGGAACTACAAAGCTATAAATAGAGGAATCAATACAGACTGTTCAACTAATAGAATTTTTTCGTTTGACGTTGCAAAATATTAGTACATACTAGTGTGTTTCATTGGGAAATATATTTTATTCAATTTTATTTTAATTTTTATTTCCAGAATGCAAGTGATATGTGTGCCGGATAGACTCATGAACACTTATGTACTTCTTCCTCGTGAACTGTGCATGCTTTGACTCAGTCGGCCAATACTTTCAGAATTAATTGCTACTGTACGCTCAAGAAAATCATGGAGACGAAACTGTAGATACAAAGTATAACTTATAAAACTTCGGATATTCAAATTGTGATGTGTGGGATCAAACAGGTATGAAATAAATCGTTCTTCAGACCAAGCAAGTAAGGGTACAGGTCATGTGTTGCTCGTCTACCACCTCCATCCGTACAGAATTCTGAATCTTTGATAATGGGAAAACAAATAAATTGAAACAAATAATCTTCAAATAATAATGATAAATGTATAATATATGGTACGATGTAACATGTCAACTTTCCTATTACAAAATGAAAGAAATTGACAATATTCTATATAAGTTTCTGTAAATTCATCTTTCAAATATTAGTTCGAAGAAAGTTTTGAAAATGATCTTGCAGAGACCTCTGTAGGGCAAATGGTATTGCATTGAAAATAAAATCTGTGCTGCATCGATAATAGGAAGAACCTACCATATCGACATTTAGCGCTATGTATAAATTATTAATATACAGATGGTCTTATAGACCGATAGACAATAAGAAAATATATTTTCAGTAATACTATTGACAGAACATTCAAAGCTCATATTAGTGTACCGCACACAAGATACAAAACGTATCTAACATTTTATGGAACTCTGTGTAACCAGGAATCTGTAGTATCGATGCTCTAAGGATTGAATTTCACGACCTCTATATTATAAAAACGACTTATTTAACGAACAAATTAGTTTAGGTTTTTAATAAAAATTTCGAAATTTCTTGCAGTTATTAGCAGTTAATGATGTAAGGGCATTTAATGTTCTTGAACGAAGAAAAAGAGTAATGAATGTTACTAAATAATGAACCTGAAGTATAAATTTATATTATGTAATATAATAATATAATATAATAATATATATAATATGTATATTATATAAAATATAATAATTATTTTATTTATGGTATATTGTTTTTGTATATGTTACATAGAAAGACAAATGTTATTCTTAATTGTACTTTCTGTCTTGTTAATAATTTAAACATTCATAGTCTTTCTCCGATAAAATTGATTTTTTCTGTCGCTTGGTTTTAAAAACCTTTGTCCCATTGTGTTAGGATCATAAAATGTTGTTAACTGTTGCGACAATTCTTTGAGGAACGTCGTCAGTTCTGCATCGCTGTCATTACTCTTGTACTCCCCGCTCATTATCAAGCTGGAAAAAAGGGTACATACTTTCTTAAAGCTGGTCGTTAAGGTGAAATCATTAATGAAGGCGTAAAGCGTTTGTGGTTCATCGACACGTGACGAAAGTTCTTCGTTGGGTAAGCAATAATTTACTCACTTTTTATCAGCGCACAAGTTTCTGAAAGCCAACAAGCTCAATGCCTCTGTTTTGGGAGCCGATATGTTAGCCGACAAATCGCCTGAATTACGTTTATGATAATAGAAATGGAACGTATTAGGAATGTTGCGTCTTGAATTAAGCCAATATTTTATCCGTGGATGTAGCCAACTGCTACGAAAGATTTGATGTGATATTAAACCTTCCAAGTGACTCACGAACTCAGCTTGCTTCAGCAATTGAGCAATGCGGCCCTGGAATGAAAATCAGTATGTGTGCCATGCATTTTATTCTCCTTGATTCTTTAAAATAAATATAAATATTAGTAACAGTATCCTACATTTTGTATATGAAAATTAATTGTTTTCAAACGTAGATAATTAAAAGCAATAACATTTACGAATGTTTAATCGATATCGAAGATCTAAAATATTCTTCTTACCTGTTTCTCTAGTTCTTGGATATCATTGACCGCGAGGCCGATCATCAGGTTCATCAGGCTGATACCAACAAGCATGATGAAAGCAAGGAACAAGACCTCGCTGGTGAATAGTAGCGAGGAATTCTCCTCTTTCTTCTTCTCGAACAGATCCGCGTATTCGTACTCGCCCGTCATCATTACCATGGTCTTGACGAAGGCGGTCCAGAAATTGCGAAACTGGTCGTTCTCGTGGAACATAACGGTGAAGCTCAACGCAAATCCGACAATCAGGAAGATGAACACCGCGAGAACCTGAAAGGAAATAAAAAGCCCCGGATGCACGTTGTTATAATCGCGAGGGTGGTCGGGCTCGTGTGTTGGAGTAGGCAAGTGGGTCCTGATGGGAGCCGTATCACCGTGGAGACATTTAGAACCTTGGTCCTCCCCAGCTTTTCATTTCTAACGATATTCGTCGAAGGGAAGAGTCCTCGCCTCTCTTACCTTTCGTCCCGGCTAAATGCGGATCTTCCGTCACACAGACGGAATTATAATCTCTCCCTCGGCATTAAATCAGGGTTAACGTTGCCCCTGTTAAGACCTCCCGTGAAAACGTTTTACCAACTCGAATATGTCTGGTTTTTATTCACGGTGCGTGTTCTGACGTGTCTGTCGCCGGCGACGGAAAATTGGAAGTTCTCGTAACATCGTTACACTCGTTAATTTCTGTCTGATATTCTCCCCTTCCCTTTACCCCTCTCATCTATACGTTGATCGTTTTTCACACTGACCTTCAGAATATTCCTGAGCACCGTGGAGAACATGAGTGCGTAATATCCACATGCCGGTAGACGGCCGATTATCAGCATCATTTGTATCCAGCCAAGTAAGATTGCCACGCTGATGGAACTCGGCATCCATTTCGAGTGCGGTAGATGCTGAGGGGCGTTTAATACTTCTCCCCTTGGTTGAATCTCTTCTCTGTAACCGCTACCCAGCGAAATCACCAGCGATATTGTCGCGCACGCATACGACATCCACATCTCGAACTGTCTCAAATAATATCTGCAATTAAAACGGCTCTTACCTTTTCCTGCACATTTTCATTTGTTTTATTCTACGGAAATCGATAATGATTCAAAAATAATTTTAAACGATAAACATGATCGCGTTGACTCTGACCTAGGTGCCATCAACATCTGCGCCATGTTGTGAATTAGAAGTACCAGCGAGAAGAATGTTAAGACTATTTTTAATGGTGCATAATCCATCTCGTATTGCACCAACATTATAGTGTAACCGGAAAGGGAGAAAACGAGCATGATGTGCACGAAGATGAGGGTAAAGAAGAATACTCGGAGCTTCGACCACTTTAAGTAGAGGAACGTTTCCAGCAATGGGTGTTGCAGTATCGACAATTGTTCCACGCTTGGAGCCGCCGCGATGAGGGACATAACAACTGCCATTTGTTTCTCGACTTCCGGCGTCAGCACATTGAAATTGACGATGATCTACAGAGGGAAACGCAGTGGGGAAAACGGACAATTAATTTCACCGACTGTCGCGAACGAAATGTAGTCATCATTACATTACTACTTACCTGTAAATTTTCGCCCTTCGATTTGTTTAGTATTTGCACTCCCGAGTCGAATACGTCGTTCAAAAATATTTGCGGTCTTAGAATGTGAGTAAATATGACATCCATGACAGTTTCACCGTAGTCCGTTTGCGCGGCCAAATTACCACCGCGATTTATTAAAACTTTGGCACACTTGCAGTATCCTCCGCAAGCAGTTAAGTAAAGAGGTGTCTGTTTCATCTAATTAAGATGCCAACGAAACAGCAGTATGAATGATTATTATGAATGAAACAAGAAACTAAATTTGCTTCGAAGTTGAATGGACATACATTATTAGTAATATCTACGCCGAAACAAGGTGTCTTCTCTAAAAGAACTAAAACCGTGTCGTAGCTACCAATAGAGGCAGCTACGTGAAGAGGAGTGTTGCCAAAGTTGTAGCATGGTTGAAGAGGAGATGCACCGGCGTCCAACAATACTTTCGCTGCCGCAGCATTTCCTAATTCTGCAGCAGTATGCAACGGTGTGGTACCTTTCAAAAATTGCCGATCATCTTACATTTCTAATCCTTTACACGGTAATTTCTATTAAATCTAAAACTTAACGAAAATGTCTCATTATTTCAATCACAATATTCACCTGTAACCGGACGAAAGACAGTTGTCGAAGCTTCCGCTGATACGAGAGTCTTAACAATTTCGAAGAATTTGCCCATCTCATTAGGATCCGTTCGAATCTCCTTAACGGATCCCGCCAAGAGCAGCGGAGTGTGTCTACGTTCGTCTTCGGCGTGTACGTTGGCGCCAGCGTTCACCAGTAATTTGACCACCTCGGAGTGGTTGTTCGCCACCGCTTGATGCAATGGCGTTCTTTCCATACACTCCGGGGACGGTAACTGAAGAAATATATTTTTGAACAGCCAATCGAGAGAAATAATGTTTAATTTGAGAACTAACGTTATTTCCTATAGGACATTGACCCAGGACTAAACGATTGTTATTCTTGAAGCACGTGTCGATGGAGACTTTGTTCTCCGTGTATGCTCCTTGTTGCAACAACCAATTGACCATTTCATTATCTCCGCGATTGGCAGCGTAGAACAACGCGCACCTTCCGATTGCATCTGTCGCGTTTATGTCGGCACCATTTCTGTGAAATAGTTTCAGCAATTCCATTTTACCTCGGAAAGCAGCCAGATGGACCATGTAAACGCGTATCCGCCCGATAGGCTGCAGCAACCTCTTATCAAACTTCGTAGCAAGACTGTTCATCACTAACACCGTATCTCCGTCCATTATGTCACTTATTATGTTAGAAAGACCTTCATCCAGAACATCCATTTTTACTAAATTTTCACGTAGAACGTTTTGAACGCAGTGTTTATGATGTTTGCTTTGATTTGGCACTTTCTTAACTGTAACGGTTCCATGGTATTTGATTAGGAACGGCAGGATGTGGTCAGTGAAGAATGTAGTTGCACTCTACACTGACACATGTATCGCGTCAGCCTTCGTCGGCAGTCTTTCTGTGTGTCCTATATTTGTTTGCACTGTCTTTGTAGTGTACTCAAAGGATTTTTGCAGGGATATTCCTATTATTCACAAACGGAAGATCAAAATAATATGTTACTTAATACCGTTTTACTTTATTGAAATAAATAGATTATTTATCAATTTCGGACTTGATAAACGTAGACAATTATTTATCAATAAATAATATACTCTTTCGTACATTTTATTCATCTTTGTTCTAAAAGTTTTAACACTAGATTTACGGTCATTCATAGTATAGTTCATTCTATTGTTTCTAGAAGAATTGATATTTGTTTGTTTATATCTTAGGAATTAGAGGTTTAAAAGTATATAATTAGGATATACGTTCGTGTAACTGCAGCAATAAAATCAACGCAAACATTTACCAAAAAACGTTTATAAAAGTTAATATGCGTCGAATTGATGCGTTTAGTAAATCTAGAGATAACGGGCAATTCCAAAAGGGGCAAGGTAAATTTTTAGGAAACAAAAATATTTATAAATATTATATATATATAGGATGTTTCTTTGCAGAAAAATAAAACACAATAGGATGACAATAAACTGACCCCATTTCTATTAAGCATATTTACATTATCTACTTTATTCTATCTTTTAACATTTATATCCTGTCTAATAATTCATCTACATCTATTACTTAAACCTAGAAAAACGCTCCAAGAAACAGGTAATACAATTCATCATATTTGCTTCTTTGAGCATTCCCCATACTTCTTTGGCAAAATCAAAAAGAATATTCAGAATATCCGTCAACCTTAACATATCCAACCGCCAAGACCGTTCAACGCAACATAAAAATCTTAATCAACTAACAAGGTTTCTATTTCTCGCGCGAAACGCTCTAAAATCCCGTGTAAATAGACGTCCAGACAGCTCTAACGTCCGCGAACCAGCCTACGAAGACTCAAATCTGCAAAAAAACGCTCGTAGTCTGCGTATTACGTAAGAATAGTGTATCACATCCTCTTATGTCCGGCATGTCTTCCGCGACCTCTCGATAGCATTACAAGTGCAAGTGCTCCGTTATTTGCGGGCGAACCGGCGATAGGTCGTACTGAATACTCATGAACGGAGCGGCGCTCGGGCATGCGGATTCGATAACGAATCTGTCAACAATGGATAACGGTCCCCATCGACGAGCGTCGCTGGGTCTCAGTAGGCGATCCTTACCGAGTGCAAGCAAACGAGGAGCAAAAGACGAAGGTTCGATTCCCCTGGCGCAAGTTCAGGTGCGCTCATATTCAGGTAACCGAGCCGGGATACCAGTTCCGAGCTGACGCGACCTTACCGCGGGTTTCTCGCGCGCACACACACATGCGCCCGTCCGGCCGGCGTTAACACACGTTCGCTTGCTCAATCAACTGGAGAATATCGCGTTACCTTGCAGAACTCGGACCCAGTACGCGCTTGACCACGCTGCTGAGAAGATCTTCTTCGTAGTATCGACGACCGCCGTTCGAACGAACCGTTCGTGAGAACCGAATCCAACATGCCAAACTGCCCGAGATGTGATAAGCCCGTTTATTTCGGTGAGTGACTGACCATTTCTCGACTGACTATCGGTGCAGACGTTGTTTCGTGAGACAATTTAACTCCTTGCACTAAGAGAGGTGATTTTCAGTTACCGCTTGATTTAATATAGGAGAGTTGTAATGTTTTATTTGTAGCGTTAACGTTTGCATAATGCATGGATATAAATGTTGAAATCAAGTAGATTTGCTTTTTAATTTATGTATGGTTTCTTAGTGGTTGGTTTGAAAGAATGCCCTATATATCTTATCGGGAGATGTTGAATATTTTTGATGAAAAAGGAATGTTTTTTGTAAAGTTATTCTCATGTGGAACTGGGTTTTGGATAAAGACGTGTTGACGATTTAGGTGTATTGAAAGTTCTAATTGTAAGTGTTCTGAATCAAAATATTTCTGTTAAGGAATGAATGAGACAAATTTTTTACTGGTGTGTATACATGAGATCGTGATAAGTATTTTAATTAGTGTACAGCACGGTTAAGCAAATTTGAAATTTATAAACGCGAAATAGCACTTTTCCTTAATTGACAAGAACTAAATAATATTCATTAAATTCATTTTAAAGCTTTTAATATGGTTCTAAGTTAATCATATAAAATAAAGGGTTATAGAGAAAGGGATATTTCCAGATTTTGAGTAAAAATGTATTTTGATTTATGACAAGGTACAAGATTTTGAGAATTAGAATATAATAATGAGATTTGAAGTCAGTGACTTCTCGTATCTTCCGTGTCCTATTCGTGACGTTCAAGAATTTATGTATCTCCACAACACAGTCGTAATTTCTTCAGCTGTTTCCAGTAACCTTTCTTGCTCAACATACAAACTGCCACATCATTCATACATTTATAATATTCCATATGAAATTATGAATTCATATACTAAAGGACTTAGCTATCTGAAGTTCTATCTGTTTGGAGTAAAATAGTAAAGATAATACAAATAAATCCGTGATAATACCGCGAGAAATGTTTTATAACACCTTAAGGTTCAATTCTTTTTGTCTAAATTTCTTTCCATCGATTTTATCTTAAAAGGTTTAAGAAACAGATACGCTAATCTATGGTTAAGACTATCGATTGATGGTGACTCAATTTATGGTTCAATTTTATTATACATAGAAGATAAAAGCAATATAAATAAATAAATGTAAATCCAATAGTTAATATTATTTCTATTCAGTCGCACCGATAGAAACATTGCATTAATTTATTACTAATACTTTAACGTATTTAATGTTAACATTCACAAACATAAATATTTAGAATTTAAATCAACATATGAACCACTTTTTCTGTGCTCGTTATCAAGATTATTCATGCAGATAAAGAATCTGTTTATCTGATGCGGATAAATCGTCCAGCGGCGATGCCAATCATTAGCTTTGAGCTGCATCTTTTCGATATTGATGCTTGTGCAAGATTTTGCGAAATTTTTCGCGAACAATTTATGTCACAACAATAACCATGTACCATGTTGCGATACTAGTGTGCGTACGAGTGACGACACCAATGATGTCATTCCCGCGGTCCACCTTGACAAACATTATATCAGCCTCGGCCCACTATGTACAACCTGCCATGTAATATAGGTAGTGAGTAATACAAGTCACTAGGAAGGAAATTGTATACAACGGAACATATGTATGTGTATGTAGACTTCATACAGTCTGTATTACAATTGATTTCGCATGGCTCAAAAAATCAGTCAAACGACACGACAAAATATCTGTCGGTTTATTCGCAACTATTCGGAGAAACGTCGGTGTTGAACATTATTGCGAATATTAGTATGCATTATTATAATCAGTTGCGTTCAGTCACGGTCGAATGTACGATATGCAAGACTCGATAACTTTGTGATGAGCAATATAAGTTGCGGACTATAAAGATTACAATTTTTAAACGTTCTGTAATGTAGGAATTTTCCAAATATACAAATACTACTGAGTTATATAATTCATTTAAATAAGAACGGTGTAAAAGAAAATTTTCTGCCAGTCGAAATAGTCGAACGTGTCTGCAGTGCAGTTTCTGTAATTATTTTACTTTGGTCGATGATTCTGTTATTTTTCCGCTGTATCACTCTAAACTTATTCACCATGTGGAAATGTGTTCCATGTAATTATTTCCAATAATAGAACATTCGATTATTCATGAATACATTCAACTATACGTGTCCTTTTTTTCGCGTCCCGCGATAGTCGTAATTATGCAGGCGTACAGTACGTACTCACGTAGAATATCAACAAGAACGAAAAGCTCGTACTCTTATTAAACGTTGGTCACTGAATAACACAATGGCGGACATGCAAAACAATGTTAAAATTCCTATGAATATTATTATTACCAACTCTAGTGGTCTCAGCGAGGCAACCTTCAGTCTTCTTGATTAACGCTCTGCTTTGTTTAACCATGTTTCAGCTCGCTGAAAAATAACTTTCTTATTATGTCTCTCTACATTTTAGCATGCATTTGATTCGACATTACTTTCATAAATTATTCAAAGGTTCTACGTATACATTATAGTAGATATTAACCTGACTACTTTAGAATTAACGTGACACCTGAGCAATCGTTGAAAAATAAGAAAAAGGAACGTGTTTATATAGATGATTATTATTTAATAACGAAATCGCTTGAACACAATTTTCACATCTGAATCCATTGAATTACTCATTGATTGCATATTATACAATAAATTCATATTTTGTATAAACCCGTATACACCAAGAAAAACTTTACAAGAATCATCTACAGAATATCAAATAAAAATTCATAAAACAGAGTAATCACAACAATGCCATTCCGAATTCATTGTAACAAAGTGTTCCACATTTATTTCACAAAAAAGTTAACATCACAACACCAATTTAATTAAATAAAATCCTCTAGACAATCAGTAACACATTATACTCTTTACCAAGCAACACATAATATTCAAGGTCCGAACACCCGTTATTTCTGTAACGTCCACACCAATTCCCACGTTCCCCACATGCCAGCGCGTCTAACGACTAATTAGGTGACTATGTTTCCCTTCGTTTCCCCGCGAACTCTCCTAAATCGGTGCGCCGGTCCCGGCGGCGGATTAAAAACGCGAGCCGCGCTTCCGTCGAAGAGTTTAGAGGCCAGTGACCTTCCTCTTTGAAACTTTTTTCCACGATACAAGGAAAAGAGTGTCGTCCCTCTAATTCGCCCCTTGCCTCGGCATCCATTTCTCGCACGCCTACTTGCGCCGATCTGAAAGCCTCGTGTACGTAGCCGCGTTGGCGCGCGGGCGCAGGCACGCTACTGCAGCAGCACATTCAGAAAAATCCGCTTTCAGCACTAATAGTGCTTTAACGGCCGTCTAAAAGGCTGCTCGAAAGAGGAAGCGCGCAATTAAAAGCGAACCTCTCTTAATACGAAGCTTCCACTCGTGTACCCGAAGGGAAACGCCGGTGGATCCCGCCGATGCTTCCCGGAGGCTCCGTTTATCCGTGTGCACCTTTCACGGGAACACCGGCGACGGCACAATTGGCCGACCAAGATTATCGCGACAGGACGCGCGTTCGGTTGCGTCGGCGCGCGTGTCGGACGCGGCCTACGCGAAATCGGCGACGATAAGGGAAACGCCATTACTCCGGGTTCCCGGTGTCGTTAATACGACGCAATTGGAGCTATTTTTGTACGTTGGCGAGCACCGAGGGCATCGATTGCGATCGCGAAACTTCAAACTTTTTTTCTGGGATTGTATATGTTTCTGTGGATTGGGTCGGTGCATTGTTTTTGTAGAGTGTTTCTTGAATGGCGATCGTGGACGAAGTAGGATAATGTTTTGTTTGCTGGTTTAGTTTTGTTGTGGATGATTTTAGAATGTTAATGTTGGAGTGCAGTTCATATTGAATACTATTGCGTTCTTTTTATTGTTTTATTGTTTGCTTCGTTATATTTGGTTCAAATTCAAATATAAGTTCGAATTTTAATATAAATTTAAATTCAGATTTGAAATCGAAGTTCAACCCACCAAAAGTTTGGAGAATAAAATAGATCACCGTGAACATAAATCGTTGTAACTGATGTTTCAACACTCCCAAATAAGCGATACTTGTCATCGGTTAATTAAGAGTCTTCGGTAGATTTAATTAATCGCCGTCATGAATCTTTAATGGTCGGCAAGTACGCGCGAGCAAGGTAACTTTTGTAGCTCCACGGAGGAGGACGAGGCGCGTGTGTCGGAACGGGAGCGCGTGTTCGCGAAGAAGAAAACGGTGGCTTTCACCTTGGGTTTTCTTTGTTTCCGCCGGAGTTATATCATGGTGACGTGCGCCGCAAAGCTAGGAGCTTCTTGAGCCGGTTGCAAAGATCCACGGTCCTTTGAGGAACGGGCACCGAAAGCTTTGAAATAAGCCGCGTTTAAATGATTTCTTAGCATTTGTCGAAGCGAGTAGCTCGGCTGGTATGCCGCCTTAATTTTTACGAACGCTCCGCGGAACATGGCGGAAAGGAAGTCTCTCGAGCGATGCGCTCCTGATTTCGAACGGTTTCAAGCATTTTCAATCTTCTTGATAGCAGCTTCGTCCAACTCGTGAGAGGACTTAAACGGATAGAAACTTAAACAGATAGCAATCCCACAAGCTACAGGCGAATACTACTTGGCAACAAGTAATTTCTTTTCTCGACGAAGAAACGGCGATCAAGTTGTGCATCGGTTCGATCCCCGGCGAGCAACGACTGAATGCTGTCACTGTGTCAACGTTATCATGTTCGCTGTATCTGCTCGCAGCTCTTCGAGTTTCAAAGCGGCATTGTTTCAATGACATCTCCGACGACCTGAAAAAAACGGCGACCAAAGAGACGGAGAAATTCTTTCGCGCAGGGAGCGCGGGATTTCAGATAGAAACTCTTTGCCCGGTAATCTGTCGTTAATCTTTTTCATCGGTCTCTCTTTCAAAATAAAAAAGCGAAAAGGAAGGTAATAAGGACAGAAAGAAAGAGGAAAGGGGAAAAGAGAAATGGAAAGAAAAAAGACGGCATCATAAGCCGCGTAACCAGCCTGATCCAGTCATTCCTCTGAATACAAGCGGGTTCGCCATGATTCGTGTGGTCGCCGTGCGAAAAGGAAAAAGTAAAACGGATACGGGAGAAGAAGGGAGGGTCGTTGAAACCGTACCGAGTCACGTTGCATCGAAAGGAACAACAATAAAGTGTCCAGCGCCGGGGACAGCGACAACGAGCTCCGCGATGGGGTTCAGGGTGGGAGCACGGGGGGTTAATAATAAGAAGAACGGAGGGGAAACAGGTTTGCAGAAGAATGGCCGAGCCGCGGTGACGAACGAAGGCGAGGAGGAAGAATGAGGAGGCTCGCGGAGAGAAGGAACACCGGCGAACATCCTCCTCCTTCATCCTCCTACGCTTCCTCCTACCTTCAACCCCATCCACGGGATGCTAACGGGAGAAAGCTACGATGAAGGGTTTTTATTTTCTTTTTTTTTCGCCGAGTCTCTCTGTAGTTGGGGGGTGGCGCGGTTGGGTCGGCAGTTTTGAAAGAAGGGAAGAAGAGTGGGCGGCTAGGGTGGAAAACGGTCTACCGATGAAATAAAGAAGAAGAAAAAAGAAAACAGAGGGAAACAGGGAAAGACCGGGGGATGATGTACCGAGCCTATGCAATCAGCAGCCGCCGATTGTTTGGCGCCCGAGCGCAACGATCCGTGCACAGCACTGTCTGCCTTTTTCGCGCTACCACTGCACAGCAGCAATGCTTGACGATTATGCACTCGCTTCTCCGCCGCCAGATAATTAGGAGTTAATTAACTAATGGCCCTTTATGCCGTACCCTTCCTTGCCTCTGCCGTCTCTCTTTCTACCCCGGTTCCTATTCTTCGTTCCAGGTTCCTTCTCGCTTTCTCCCTCGCTTCTTTCGCATTCCGTTCCTTTTCTGCCTCCTGTCCACCCGCGCAACCCGTTCTCCTCCTCCCCTCTCCTCCCGTCGCAGTCAGGCTTCTGTCGACCCCTTTAGACCCCCTTGTCTCTCTCCGCTTCTCGTCATTTTCCAATTCCCCTCACTGGCACCAGCGTCCTTTGTGCTCCTTCTTAGACGCGGAGGAACGTTTGAATGCCAACCGCCAGCCCGCCACGGTCCGTGGCTTTTTTTGTCTTCCCCGCGAGGTTTGATATGCCGTAATGGCATGACGCACCGCGGCACACCCGACGAAGAAAAGGTACACACGCGGTTCTCTGATTCCGCGGTCTTTTGTAGACTTTCCGGCCGAGCGTGTGCGCCACTGCCGCGACATCCGCCGAATGGCAGAACGCTACCCCGAGGAAAATCCGATGGATACACGGTTCACTCGACTCGTTCGATGTCAATGTTTCTGATGCCAGACTCTGGTCAACCCTTGCACTCGGATACAGATGTAAACGTTTACGAATTTTGACAGAAAATCTACACGGTTCTTATCGCAGTCTGGGGAAACCCTTTTGAATCCTTATGATTAGGACTTCCATATTTATTTGTATCTGCTGAGTGGAAGCTACATAAACAAGTTTCCAGATTTGTATGTATTTAATTTCATTTGAATCTCCTTAATTTATTAATTAAATTAACTAAAAAGTTTCGTGCTTGCATCACAATGTGACTCGAATTTCATCTTCTTACATTTCTCTTAAACCCTTAATATCCTTCTTTATCCAGACAATTTTGTTACATTTAAAACCTATAGCCAGAATGTTCTAGTAAGTCCAAGACACAAGAGCACCACGATTAGTCAGTTATTACTCAACGAAAATCAGAAAAATCCCTGTTCAATCGCCGCGTTGCTGAGGTTGTTTCCCCGGCTGCAGAATTCCAAAAGCTTTCGGTTAATCAAGCAACGCGCGCGCTTCACTCGCGAGCCGGGAACAAAAGACGGCCGCGTGCGAGCTTCTTGTCTGGATCGCGCGCCACGCTTTCGTCCCTTCTCGCGATTATTCGCGTGCGACACTTTTTCCGTTCCTCGAGACTCGCACGACGCGAGTAGGCCGCACGTGGGAATTCAGCGGGGCGTCACGCACAATACGGTTGCGTTGGAATACGGAATTTTGTAAAGCGGCGTCGGCCCTTTTTTCCGCCGGTTCACTCGCGAACGGTCCGCAGGGTGTTTCGCATTCGCGCCTCGGCTGAATGACAGGCCGCCGATCGGATCCTCCGAGGACAGGCCATTGAATTTCATAATTACGAAATTGCTAATGGAGTAGACAGTCGTTCTGCGGAGGGGGAAGACGTCTGCAGCGATGGTGCGTCGAGCGAGTCCCGGATGGGGGACGTTTCTGCATTTTGATCAGCGATGGGAGGATTTTCAAACGCAGCCACCGTTCGTGTTGCATTGTCTGCCGCGATCGATCCGGTCTCGTCGATGACGTCGTCCTGAGCCCTTTCATTTCCGATAAGGGGCATTAGCCAAGTTAATTCGTCGTTAAACGCCGCGGTTCAGCAGACGTAACTCTTTGTTTGTGGGTTTTATTGGGTACTTGGTCTATTGGAGAGCTCTGCCAATCGTCGATTCGCGTTTTGACACGTTGATTAATGTAAAGGTGTTTGTAAACATTGTACTAGATAAAAATGTCCTCCTTAACACTGTGAAATTTGAAGGAAGATTTATTATACTTCATGCGTTCTGTACCTTGAATATTTATGTACAATTTTTTCTATTAAAAATGTGAAAGTCAAATTTGTTCTTACGTAGGAATTGATTTCAATGGTTACACGTTTGTATGATATTGAGTAGTGTCTGTTCATTACTTTCTGTTTCTACTTACTATAACCAGAAAAACGTAATAATCACATGATTTTTGTGAAAATTTAATTTTGTTACTTTTATATGTTGAAATTATTTACCTGGGCGATGAACCCAGTGACAGAATTATTTAAAACCAAATATCTTTCAAACAAGTCGGTGGAAAGTTGCCTTTAACGCCTCTTTAGATTATCATTTTATAATCCCACAGATCAATAAGTATGCAGGATTTAGCTACTTATTGTTAGCTGAGAGCTGATAAAAATTCCTTCGGGCTTCCTTATCGGGAACACGACCACATAGGGCTTTGTTAGGGTGGATTGAGGCCATACGAATAGATCTGATCAAATGTAATGACTTCCTCGTTTCCGTTTCACCCTATTAGAAGCATTAAATATTACCGTGGACTGTAAGGTGTAAGAGAAATTGCGGACAATCCGTATATTATTTACTTTGTCTTTTACAGCTGAAAGGAAAACTTCGCTGGGGAAGGACTGGCATGGTGGCTGCTTACGCTGCGAAAAGTGCAATAAAACGTTGACACCGGGTAGCCATTCGGAACACGAAGGCAAACCTTATTGCAATCATCCTTGTTATTCTGCTCTGTTCGGCCCTGGAGGTAAGCAACCGGTAAATCTTTTAAAAAAAGTAGTGGATTTATTTAATACCTTAAACTCGTAGATAATCGCTTAAGAGCCTTCAGATTCTTAATGTACTTCGGTTTATTCTTGATCTTACGCATATAGTACTTCTTACTGACACTTTAAACGATTTCTGGGATTTGTTTGGTTAATCTTCATCAATCACATACGTGTCAAACATTTTACTACAAACTTCTGATTAAGAATCATGGTATCAAATGAAATAAAGAATAATGTTCTATTCATTTTTAGGGTTCGGACGAGGTGGCGCAGAAAGCTACGTTTACAAAAAGTAAACAATCGACGATGTAAGGCAGTGATAACTTATTGCTGAATGAACCGCGTTACCTGTGCTATAGAATTTATTGTTAATGTAATGATAAACAGATCACTTAAGTATACATGTGCTAAGTACAATCCCCTCGTATGGAATACGAAAAATACGCTATGCAAGACTTCATATATTCAATTTTTTATAAGATTACCTAATGTATTATGTAATTTCTTAGTAGCTGCGCTGTTAAATAAAAATTTGTAATACAATTTGAATTGTTATACTTTAGACCTCTTCCATCATCTGTCCGTAAAGAAGAAATCGTCATTCTCTTCTGACAGTCACTTACCTACCGATAAAGATTCAGATACTGTACTTAGTAATACTCCAAGATGGCAGCACATGTTTCATTTACATTTGATTCGCGTACTACTTTTAATTGAAATTTTTAAATTTTTATTTAAATTTTCATTTCTTTTAAATATTCACTAACATTTTTTCTGAAGTAGTCATACATTTTGTCCTTGTTCACACATTGTAATAAACGATATATACAATAAAATACACGAATAACTATTTTTTCAGATACGTTTCTAGAATTTGACATCGTGCCTAATGTCTACATGTCATAGACTTACTTCGTTTTTTTCAGATATCAATAAAAAGAATATAATGTCAGAAAAGACTCTGCTTGAAAATTCATTTAAAATTGCGATTAAGATTTACCAAGAAATATTTAGAAAGATGGTACGAACATTTAATGTTCAACGAAAGTGAAATTCGAAAGATCCACATTCACGTTAAGCAGATATAGACAAAAGTCTCTAAGCGAAAGATGATGATTAACAGTGAATTCGACTCAGTAAACAATTCTTAAATTTCATGTACTATCTAAAATTCTTTATGCACAGAAATATTTCGCCTATCAGGTGATCGAAGAATCCTTCTTCCCTTCTCCTTAGACAGAATGTAAATAATGGATGACAACAAGTTTCATATAAACCTCATATTTATTTAAAAAGGATGTACAGAGTTTTGTTTGCAAGTATCAACAGCGAGACTCGGCAAGAGCGGCGCACGGAACAAGAATATCACACGTGTACGAAATGAAAGGGAAATATAATAGACGGAAACATGTTTGTTATCTCGATTAAAAAAGTCCGCGGGGCGCAGCATCCAAGCCGAAGTCTCGATTTCACATGTGATTCGTAACCGTTTCAAAGGTTGTGTGTGAGTGTGAGTGTGTGTCCGTGTGTGTACGTGTGTATAGGGGTAGGGGAGGTGGTGGTGATAGCATCCCCTTCGTTTGAATGCTGCGCGAAAAGTGCTTCAGTTCCATTCGTGACGATGCATTAGTTTCCATTTTACAAGTCGACGTTAC